ACTTGCAAGATGACATTGGCATCCCTCTTGAACAAATAACCAGGCAAATGTTATTCATACAAGTGTTTGAAATGTTATAATATTTATTTTAAAATATTTATTCATAAAAAATATTTAAAATATAATATACAATTCTTGTTCATTAATCTCGAGCTGTAAGTAATTAAATAATAATCTATTATTTTGTCATAATTATATTAGTAAGTGAAATAGTGAGGTCTTTAAAGTGAGTGTAAAAATTGTCTTAAATAAAGCCTGAAGAATGTTTAACTTACTGTTGGAACACATATGTTTGGTTTTCGGTAGCAACCTGCTGCTGATTATGATCGCCTGGTAATTTAAGCCGAAAAGTCTACAATTTGCCATAAAAAAGTAAATTTTGTAGGATAAATTGTGAGATTTTTCGGTTTGAAGTACCAGGCGAACAGGAATTCCAGGAGGTGATCAACGATCGTTTTGGTTTTCGGTAGCAACCTACTGCTGATTATGATCCCCTGGTAATTCAAGCCGAAAAATCTACAATATGCCATAAAGATCATTTTGTAGGATAAATTGTGAGATTTTTCGGTTTGAATTGCCAGGTAGAAATTCAAAATAACTAAAAAAAATGTCCCAAATTGATCTTAATCGGTTTTTGAAGTGGCATAACCTTAAATGTTTCTGGCACAATTCTCCAAAAAATTAGAAATATATATTTTTGTAATTTTTTTGTAATTTTTTTTAATGCCCACAAACCGCAAAAAACTGTCACGGCCACACTTTTAAAAAATTGTGTAGTATTTTTTTTATTTATTTTGTAAATTTCTACAGAATTACCAAAAAACTTTTTGCCATGCGCACTTTTACGCTAACAATTTCTATTTTTGAATATATTTTGTAAATTTCTTTGCCAAAAAACCTTTTTGCCACGCCCACTCTAACGCCTACAAGCCGCCCACTTTTTACCGATTTTTCAGAAAATTTGGATATTTCTCGTTTGCACTTCCACTAGCTGAGTAACGGGTATCTGATAGTCGGGAAACTCGACTATAGCATTCTATCTTGTTTAAATATGCCAACGGTAGTATAATATTGCAAAAGAAATACAATTTTTGTTCTCATATACTGCCAATTATAAAAATTGTATTAAATATGCGTGCACATCATGCAAACAAAATACCACAATAAGTGTGACAAAAGAATCGAATATATCCCTTACGAATTGTGAATTGTCCAACAAATTGGTCCACTGAAATAAAACGACAAAAGGGGAGTTTAAGGGTTGTAACCATACTTCAAACGTTATTGGAAAAGCATTGAACTGACTTTGATGAGATCTTAAATTTGCTGTCCCCTGATATCCTTGATTTTGTCATAGGATTTCTCACAATAACTTCCGAAGCGAAATCAATTTACAAGCCAAATATTTGGGCCATAACAAGGCCCCAAACTGGCTCTAATTATGCATGGTCACCATGCGGGTCACTTACCGAATTTGAATGCAAAGCTGGATGGGTCAAAAAGGTGTCCACGTGTCCATGTGTCCACGTATCCATGTTCCCGAATCTGTGTATGCCTGTTTGGCACGGTCCGAATATGGGAAATGTATGCAAATGACCGGAACACAGCAAACATTCTAGTCGGCAATTGTGTTTGTGTGCTTTTTGTTGATATGGAGTTGTCTTTGCTTGTTTTGCTGATTTCGAAGGGGGAACTTAAATTCCGTGCCAAAGGATAGCCAGCCTGGCCGGGCCATAAGAAGGATTCAAGCAGGTAGGAATTAATGGGTATTTGCAGGTAAGGTACTTTGTAATACGCCTCAAATATGACCACATTACAAATTTAACTTTTGAAATATCTAACGCAATTGATGCTCTTTTAAATGAAAGTCCTGGACTAGAACTAGGAGTTTTCCAAAATACAGACACGCTTCAGTTCTTAGCATAATTGATTTTAATTTTATGTAAAATTACACATTCCCCTGGGTTCGACTCTCCACAATAACAAGGTTACAGTCTGCCAAACTCTTATTAAAAGTTTCGGGGCTGACCAAAAGCTCTTTATTTAGTTACAGTCCCAAGGACGTGGGTGAACACGGCTTGAAGCCCTTTAAATGAGTTCAAATTGAAACACCCGGCCAGGACACGCTGGGAACTGTATTCAAATATTTAATCCAACCGGGCAGACTGCATTCACAATAAACCCATTCCCCACTCTCCCACTCTCCCTCTCACCCACTTTCCCGCTTGCCACCATCGGTGGCAGCCACATAAAGAACAGCTGTGTCCACCGTGCTGAATTTCATGACTCACCGAATGGAAAACCCAGGCTGGAGCGTCGGGCTGGGATTGGGACGTGGTGGAGCAGTGGGAGTGGGGCTTAGGATGTCTACTCTCTGGCCTTTTCGTGTTTAATTGAGTTTGAAATAGGTGCCAGCTTCTCTGGCCTCCCAGCCGGTGGGCTCTGAAATTGGCTTAGTTGCGAGTTGCCATCGAAACAGAAAACCGGAATATCCTCGTATGGAAGGAGTGAATGCAGCTGCTTTTTTATTTTCCAAATTTAACTCCAACATTGATGTATTGCTTGCCAAGATTTTGTGGGGGCATAAACAATAAGGAGTGACTGTAAAGTGGCTACGTTAGCCTGCCGAGTGTAGCTCGCAGCGGAATGTCGAAATGTAATCCTTAATCGGCCCAAATCCCATCCCTTCCCAGTAATTCCGCTTTATGTTTGCCCAGCAATCCTTTTCCCCAATTCATTTATTTCAATTGTTGCCGCAGCTTCCGCCGTTTGCCGACAAAAGGCCGTAGTCAACTATACGGCGTAATAAGCACTTTTTATTCGGGGCACATTGTGAACGCGGAAATTTTATTGTTTCCGGGGGCGTTCAGATCGGCAGTGGGTTTACTGTGGGCTAAGCCCCTAGATTTTTACCAAAAATTATGGCTTTGGGGCTTAAAGTGGAACAAAAAAGGGGTGAAAAGAAGTCGTGGTGATTTGAGCAAAAAACTTTGTTCATTTACATTCATAATCTTGTAGATTTTATAGAGATTTCATATTACTATCTGTTTTCTTTTCTTATAGTCATTGTTTCTGTACTACGTTTTAAATATTAAAGAGCAGTTTAATACTTGTAACAACAACTTTATTATAAACCCATTGTATAAAACGTCAGCTTTAAATCGCCCACGCCCCCGCTTTTCCCCAAATGGGCGTTGCTGATGGCGCGCTTTTGTTTGCGCGACTTTCAAAAGCAACCTGAAATTTGCCTACATTCGTTTCATTTTATAACCCGAAAGGAATAAAACAAAGCAAAGTTTTCAACTTTTTGTTTAGTCTTGAATGACATCGTTGTCTCCCAACTTATTTTTATGTGCCCAAGAGGCAGCCGATTGAAGGAAAGCAGGTGGTGCCCGAAATTTACTTACCAAGTACTTACTTGCCTATTTCAAAAGCCATTTGTATAAACGGCAACGGTTCGGGGCCCAAGTCCCCGAAGAAATGTAATAAAATAAGCCTCCACTTGGCAGCTGCATAAACAAATACCTGATAAAGATAGCAGGAAAAGCGGGTCCATTTTCTGGACCGGGGCACTCCAAAAAGTATTTGCATAAAATGTTGCAGCATTAGCGGCAGCCACTACACATTGGGACAATCCAGGGAATACCCGGACTCCGGTATTTTTTATTAAATTTTATTATTATGTTTTGCATAATTTTGGCCCTTTTTCAGCTGGCCAGAAATTAGACGGGGTATGCCTATGCCTTGGAGGACATTGCTGGTGAAAAACCCTTGGCAGTCAGCCTAACTCCGGCGATCCGGCCAAATACTTTTGGCAAGCTTTCGAAGTTCCTCAAGTGGAAGGCTTTGATTTAAATGTAGACAAATTCGCTTAATGCCCGCGCATCCAGCTCTTTAACAATTTCCGCTTCCTGAGCAAAGAACTTAAATACAAGTCGAATAGCCAAAGCATATTTACAGCACCCCGGGGACTCGGGAAATCGTAGCCAGAGTCGAAGAGGGCCAAAAAAATAGCCGCCAAAGTTGCTCACAGCGCGACCGCACAAAACTCGAATGCGACAATTAATTTCAGTGAATTATGACCGCAGAGTGGAAAATGGCGCTAATGTGACGGCCTTTGCCAATTTGCTTTGCTGTTTGCTCTCTGCAGCTTTTCCAGGCCACACCAGACCGACCGAAAAACACGAACAGCTGTCAGGGCATCCGTTTTTGTTGGTGGCCACGACTGTGCGACTTTGTGTCCGGCCAACTTTTTGGGCGGCACGGCGACCGCAGACCAAAATAGACAGTCGGTTCGGGGTTGGGGCTTCTGATTCCCTGATTCCCTAACTCCACGGCTCCACTGCTTCCCAGGCGTGTCGTTTGCAATATGACAGCCAAAAACCGAATGGCACAACGCTGCGTATACGCGATATGCGCGAATGCAGCGAACCTTCGCAAATGTCACAGCCACGCCAATCGGAACTTAGAAACGGTGTCGATCTCTGCCGCCATAATTCACAGCCAAACATTTCACCACCGCCGCGCACACCGTTGCATGTCCCCATTGTTCGATGCTTTCCGTGCCCGGTGCCACAAAGAGGATGAAAGCTGGATAGCAGCAAGAATCACGCAAAAACGCAACAAAATGGCAGCCGGAAAGTATGGCAAAAACACGCGGAAGTCGCGAGCTTAGCACGCTGAAAATGCCGTAAAGTACAATGAACCGCAGAGGCTGGAAGGCGGCGTGGTCCGGGTGCTGGGATGGGATGTGGGTGCAGCCAAGTGGATTTCTGTCTTTGTGGCTGCGTCCTGAAAAACGCGAAGAGGTAAGCACTATGTACTTGGGCGCAAAGTATACCAGAAACTGATTTTAGACAAATCTGTTGAAGGAGATTGTAAATCTTTAGCGTTTGTTGATGTCTTTTCATGTTAAATCGTAAATTATTATTAAAACTTTAGTGTAATTTTTTTTAAGATATTTAAATTATCCAATCATTTACAAGAAAAGTTAGACCACATCTTGTTTACTAAACCTTTATAAGATTTTTTATTAGTAAGCCTACTAGGGGCTTTAAAGCTTGTAAATGAATGGAATGCCCGGTAATTCTTTGAAGTTGGAAAAGTGCCTAGCAAGAATGAACTGGGTAGCAGGTATCTTTTGGTCGGGCCACTTCACAACTCTTCACTCTCACTTGCATCCTGGTTTTTCCGCTGCACTTGGCACCATTTATCCTCCGTGAGTGACACTTTCAAGAGGGACAGATGCTGGAGATGCGGAGTTGGAATTCCCGACTCCTGCACTTTATTCCCGCTCCTAATTCGATGACAGCAATGGAGAACGCTTTATAATAATTTAATGTTGTTCTGGACGCAGAAGTTTTTCAGATCCATGTAATTGCTACAGGGGAAATTATCATTGGCCTTCTGATGTTGGTTAAATAGATGGCCTTGATCTTCGTCCGTATGATGAAATTCCAGGCTCATTTTGCGTCCCTTGCAGATGGTGAACTCGCCCTCGTCGAATAGTTTTCGCCTCATCTCGAACGTGGCTTCGCTGGAAGCTATGGATTCCCCTTGTGGTTCCGAGAAGTGTGTCTTGTCGGAGATGCACAGCGAGGTCTCGCTTAATTCCGATCGGTTCAGACTATTCGACTCCAATTTGGCCGTTAACATCGAGTGATCCAATTTCTGCTGCCTCTGCGGGTATGGGGTTGCCGATCCCTTGGTACTTTTTAATCCATAATCGCGATTGCTGGTCGTTCGATCCTCCAACTCGGTGTTTTTTCTATAGAAACCAATGCCAAAGGCATACTTTCCCTTGGATTTCGGCTTGTACGTATTAGCTGCATAACTTTTCTGCATTGTTTTTAGGTATTTATGTTTTTTGTGTCGGGCTCTGTGCCTTGTATTCTGTTTAACTGACTTAGAGTTGTTAAGTATTTTCTGGGCCTACTAACAATTTTATAAATTACATAGCAAAGATATGTATATCGGTAATATGTATCCAAACAGGAACTAACGCGAATGCAGGCTTGGTATAAAAAGGCCATCAATAATATTATCAATATAATTGTGTGAAAAACCCTGCCTATAATACTTAAATTCAAAAAATTTGGTACTGAAAATGTGTTTTAATAGGTGGCCCAATAGCCAAGTCTAACCAAGTTGGTCTAATTATGTTGAAGTAAGGGCTGAAATGGGTCACAAAAGTCGACAATCTTGGGAACTATAAACAAATCAGGCTTCAGAAACTTTCTGCCACCCACTTGCACCGAAAGTTGATGGCGCCCGCAGTTTGAAAGTTTTCCATTCAATTCACTTAAGACTCTTTTCGCCTTTCGCGTTTGCATTTTGATGTGGCAACATTTCCACAGCTTCCCCGTACTCCACCCACCCGCACCACGTTTTCCCACTAACTCGTACCTTGATGGCCCAGTTCGCAGTGAACTTTCCTGGCCAGAGGATAACTGGGCGAAAAACCAGCACAGAGCAACGACGACCAACAAGCGACGACCAACAAGCGCCGACCAACGGAGTCGTTGCAGCTAATGGTGTTTATTGCATTTACTCCCCGGCTGCCACTTAAATCGGCGACACTGTGGGCGGGTTTGGTGGTTTACCAGGCTGGGTTGGGCTTTCGGGCAGGACCTCTTCCTGCAGCAACAGCAGACGGAGCAACACCTACAGCTACGCAAATACCCCGCAGGCGGCAGACCAAGCACAACCGACTATGGACTATGAACGACGGACTATGGACGATGGACTGCGGACCCACAGCTCCCGCCAGGTGCCTTCTCCGCTCGCGTGGAAGAAAGTGCAGAGTAAATGCACAACACAAAGTCTGCCTGGCGCCGCCTCTGGTGAACAGGTGAATGGAGCAGGGGGCGTGGCGTGTGGCATGAGGCAGGACGATGGCAGCCACAACTGCGGGTGCAGCCAAAAGAGCAACTCACCTGCCGCACCATCTACCATCCAGCCAAGCTGTTGTGGCACAGATTTGGCTGACGCAAAGTTTGATTAAATCACATGACAAGAAAGGACGAGGCGGAGAACGACAAGGACGAGGAGGAGGAGGTCGGCCAGCGACTTGTGGGACATGGATTCAAGTGGCTTGATACCACCGCACAAGGAAAAATAATAAGATGGGTCCGACTGGCAGGATTATCTCCTGGGCTTAAAATGTTGAAATTTCATTGTTAGTGAGTTGAGTGGAGTTGAATTTAATACCATACATCAAAAGAAGACAAATTTTATTAAACAATTTAGACTTCATAGAAACTAATATTTCGATTTTCAGTGCAGTTCCACAGAGCCAATGAGCCACTGAGCCACTGAGCCACTGACTGCGGGCGTCGGGAAAGTAAATAAATTCATTAAACGTTTAGAGCTGGCCAGGTGGGTTCGGTTTGCCTTTTGTGCCTGGGTAAAATATTCAGTTATCCGGATTAAGTGGATTACCATTCAGCAAGTTGCATCGCCCCAGAATCTCACGATCTTTGGGACAAAGACTGGCTGGGCGGGTATATGGCAGCATTGCATTCAAATGCCTTTTTTAAGACGGACATTAACAGGAATTTAGAGATCTTTTGTTCTTGGCTGTTCTTGCTGTTCGTGGATGGCGCTCAAAGCTCCAAAGTCGGAATCGAATCGATTCAATTCAGTTGAATTCGCATCTGGATACCACGACGCAGTCCGCGTTCCAATCACTTGAAATTTTAACGAGTCCAGGAGGGGCAGGATGAAGAAGGCAGAAGTGTCCTTCGTCAACAGACAATGCGTACAAACAGATGGGGATACACAAAACAGCTAACATGCATGGGTACAGACAGGACGAGGTGGACTGGAGTACCCGAATCGAGGGACTGGATTCAGGTACTGTTTCTACTCGGCACAGGACGGATTCAGTACCAGCTCCCAGGTATCCTCCTCCTCCGACGATGACTCGGAGCTGTTTGTTTCATCGGGACGCGAGGCGTGGCAGCGATTGCACTTCACCCGGTACCAGAAATTCATATTGAAGCATAACTTGCACAGCCAGTCGTTCCTCTGTGGCCGCCAGCGACGAGGGCTACCGGCTCCTCCGCCTGATCCCGTCCAGCTACTAGGCCCGTTATTCTGAAGTGCGACCACCTTGTCCGCCTGGCATCTGTTGCAGCTGGAACGCCAGACGAAGTTGCTGTTCCGGCAGAGAATGCACACCCAATTGTCACTGGCCGGCTTCCACTTCAGCACCCGCTGCCGACGTTGGAGCTCCGGCGAGTTGAGCTCCCGCGGATAGCTGTACCGGACACTGCCTCTCCGGGTGGACAGGTAGGCGGGCAGGACGGTGAGTACCTGGCCCATAAACTTGGCCCCACTCAGACAACTAATCGCCGCCTGTGCGGAGAATGGACTCACGTATGTAATAGTGGCTTCACCCTTGGAGCGTCCCGTCATCTTGTTCTTGTAGACGAAGATCTTCGGCTTGTTGGTCGACTCGTCCATCTTAATCACTCCCAGTTTGCCGAAGAACAGGATGATATCGTTCTTGGTCACATTGAGCCGCATGCCCAGCACGAACACCGTTTCCGCCTGGATCACATACTGCTCCTGACCAATGTTTATATAGGGACAATGGCGGGGTAGTGGCAGACGGGGCATATAGTCGGCGGCTGTGCGCGGGAACACCATGTAGGATGTGTTGCCACCCATGCAGGGTGACTGTGGCAGCCTCTGCTGGTCAGTACCCTCTGCAAGCTCCTCCATTTCCTCCAATCCGTTCATCTCCTCCCGCTCCACCAACTCTCCTTGGTTCATCTGCAGACTCCCTTCGGGCTCCGGCTCTGTGTCCATGCTCACGGACTCCCCTGAAGTCGGACTCGTCGGGCATGAGGAGGACGTGCTTGCCACCACCTGCTGGTCCGCCTCTTCACCGCAGAAGTGGTCATCTTCCTGGCCCAAAAGCAAGGATCCGCTGGCATCGCCACTTCCGTCCTCGAAGCGATAGAGATCACCGTACATGCTTCTGGGACTCAGACCGGAACTGGTACTTGCCTGTGGATTGGGGGCAGGTCCAAGGCCAAATCCCAATCCTGAACCCAATGGAGATCTGACCATGTAGCTGGCGTGGAACATCTGGTGCTGACTCTGAAGCTGTGGCTGTGGCTGCTGGGTGTCCGAGTAATTTGGAGCGTAAAAAGAATTGGCATACACTACGCTGGCTGAAGTGCTATCCATGGTATGTAAAAAATATTGGTAAAATTCCTGGTTGTGGGGCCTTTACTGCTGATCAAACACGAACCGATTCCTTTAAAAACTACTGAAATCTTTGATAACATCCAAGACACTAGGAGTATAAAAATGAACTGAGCTCCGGATCTAAGTTTCTTTGATAGATTGTGTAGTAGCCTACTTGGCAGCCATGTTTTTCCAATTCAATCAAATGGTGTACCATTTGGTTTCTTTATTTTTGACTCAGAAAAACTGTGATGTGTTTATACACACAATACTTTATAATTTTTTCCGCATCAAAATATAATCCGAAGTATTAGCAATATCGGTACTGCACATAAAAACCAAAATATCAACCGATTGATGCCAATGAAAATATATTAAATAAAATCGACAGCGGCAGGATTAATTTGATTCAATTATGTGGAATTTACTGAGTGAAAATGTATTGATAGCAAACGTAAAAATGCAATATGGACATCAAAATGGTTGGCACTATTCCGTCCATACCTTTTAAGAGATTTGACCTGGTTTTGCCATCGGTAGTCTATAGTTGAAAGCGCGGAGAACTATGCAAATTTCCGTGATTGGCGGCTAAAACTGGATGCATCCAACCACTTTTGCAGCTCACTGATGACTTTGCACTTCGCTTGCCGTCGTCTTCGGAAAATTGATTCATAATTTCTGCACATTTTCACTTTAATCAGCAAACTTTGATTACATTTTCACAGCGTGGGATGGCGAAGAAAAGCACCTGAATTCAATCTAAGAGGTTCGAGCTGAGTTCCCACAGGGACCTGAAACTGAAGCTCATATTTTTTGGAGACGAGTCTCATCCTTTGACTGACCAATCAAGATGGCTGGCACTCATCAAGCCAATTAGCTGCCAATTACCCCACTAATGACCGACCACATTAACCCCACAAAGCAACCCGAAATCGGGGGCAGTCAAGAATAATGTCCTGCCAACGGAGCGTGGACACTGAAGACATGTTTATTAATATCCCGAGCCCGAACTCCAGCCCGGCCACCCTGATAACCGAAAGTGCCACGTTTGTCGCCAACGCGTAAGAGGAAAAAAGCAACATTTTCACCAGCAATTCGCATTTATGGCCGCCTCTTTACGACAAGTCCACTGACCTTATCATCAGATTCCGGGCTCTGGGATCCGGTGTCCTGTACGGAAGCCCCAGCTTCATTAGTAGCCCCCGCTGTGGTGTCGATTTCTAAGGAAGGCGGAGGGTCAGCATCTTCAGCAGCAGCAGCTTTACTTCGGAGCGGCAAAGTTTTACTTTAACCCGTCAAATATTTCCCCCTTGAAATGAAGCAATGAAGCTGGGAACCGCCGACACGAAATTAAAAATCAACTGTCTTGAAGGGAAAACAACAGCGAAATGGAAACTGTTGCCGGGAAAGTTCCTATTCCGTTGGTGGAAAACTTTGTGCGCTCATAAAAATCGAGACAGGGCAAATTGTCTTGCAGTATAATTGCACAAAACTTTGACTTTGAAGCTCGTCCGTAATTGAAAAGACAAAAGCGCAGCGCAGCAATTGGCCCGGAATATAAGCTGGTATATGACTACGATGCGTTCGGGTATGGGATGGTATGGGATGTTATGGGATGGCCAAAGGGATGACTTTTCATCAGCATCTCTCAGTGCACACACAGTGCAGCTTCCATGTTGTCTTTCCTTCCATTTGGAGCGAAGGCGAAGGTGGAGCAGCTAATGAATTGGCTGCCTGCCGGAGCAGAGCAAACACGCTGCACAGCTCGGCAATCTACCTGAATAAACTGACACGAATCGGAAGGTGCATTGGATATCGAAAGCACCTTTCCACCTTTCCACCTATCCACCCTGCCAATGAATTCCGCCCAATCCCGCCCAAAAGTCGAATTAATGGAGGGGCGGCCAGTGGGGCGTTGAAAATCAATATTCATAAAATGTAATACATATTTAATTGAGATGAATTGCATGCATGCAGCATAGGCTGCAATCCATTTCAATGGGTTGAGTGCAATTAGGTGTTTAACTGTATCATACTGCACTTATACAGGGCTTTATAGGGATCTAACGCCTCGAGTCCATCAGAACCAATTATACCTATTAATCATAGATTTCACTTAACGCTGAAATTGTTTATTGTTTTCAATGTGTATAGCCAAGATAATACTAATTTAGCTGTGTTTTATATTTAAGGCAATTTGATAGCTTGAGCGAAATAATATTGTTTTATTAAATCTGCGAGGTGAAGCTAACGGAGTTGTACTCGAATCACTTGTGCACAGAACCAGAAAACCCTGGAAGTTGAACTCAGTTCCACCGGAATTTGGGTTTATGCAACTGCCACAGAGAAGCAAAATAACAAGCAATAAAATGTGTACGTGTCTAAATTTTAATATGGTTTCGGGTGCGCACATCCAGTTGAGATGATCATGTACATTCATTGCGGAATGTGTGTGTTTGCCAGTCCGTGTTTATTTGACTTGCTACTTATTTATTACGAAGCATAATGAAATTTCACGTAATCCTCATTAAAGCCAGAACAAAGGCACGGAGTTTGGGCAAACAACTTCAAGGCGCTGCTGTGTACACTGGCACATTCAAATCTCAGTCATGGCTCAATTTCAGCAAAAGTACGCAGCAAATAGGAGCTGTTCGCAGAAGGATATGAACACCCACTCGCCAGTACACAGATTATCGACTTCTGAAGCACAGGCAGACACAAAAGCCAGTCAGACGTCTCCATCGCTCCCACACGTCCAATACAAATAAATCAGACAAAGCATATAAATCTAAATTGTATCGCATTGTGGCGCATTTCGCCTCACCTTCTGCTGCTTTATTGGCAAATTGGCGGGTTGAGGGATTGGCATTGGCCTTTGTGCCCCAAACCGCCTGGCTTCCACTTGGAGCACCTGAGTCGCATATCGGGTACTCGGTACTCGGCATCGGTTCGATTGCCTGCCACGTGGAATTCCCATCGATTTTGCCAGACCCGCTGCAAATGGTCATGCCATTCAGCCCTTTTTTCTGCGGTTTCCATTCTGCTGACAGCGCAATTATCGTTGGAGTATATTGAGTGCTGAAATTTCAGCGCTCAGTCAACAGGAGCCCATATACCGATTCCAACGTTATATAAAAGTCACTTTATACGATAACCAAAGCAGTGTTGCTTCAACATACTAAGCATGTTTGAGTAAACTGCACGACCAGTTCAACAAACTGTTCCGGCTGATCCTCGTACACACAGTGTCCTGCATCCAGAATCTGTACCACTGTGTTTGGGAAATACCTCTGCATCACTGCAATACTGGTCGTGGTCACGAACTCCGACTGGGAACCGGCGATGAGCAGGACCTCGCCCATGTAAGGACGCAGTCCGCCCAAAGTGGCCTCGTAATTGATCATCATATCCCCCCAAGAGCTTAGAACCGCCTGCGGATTGACTGCCCAGCCAAAGGTGTTGTCCTGCATCTTGCGCAGATTGTAAATAATGCGACGCAGCTCGGAGGCGTCGTGAACCACATCCTGGAAGAGTGGCAGGATGAACGTTCGCCCCTCGGAAAGGGATAGATTTGGGGGAATACTGGGCGCCACCTGGAGCATCATCTCGAAGACCTGCCGGGTGAGATAGAAGTTACTGGGCACCGGTGCCAGTGTGATGTCCACCAGTATGACACGCTCCACGAGTTGCGGCTGAGTGAGTGCCAATGTCATCATTGCCCGACCGCCCATTCCGTGTCCAAGTGCCACGATCTTGTTCAGACTCTGGTGGCTCATCAGTGCCTCCACATCGGCGGCCAAATGCATGGGCGAATGGCCGGTTACGTAGGGACTGAGGCCATGGTTCCGAGCATCCACGGTGATCACCTGGCGCAGACCTTCCTGGCTGAGATTAACAGCCACCTGTCGCCAGGATTCCAGTGAAAGATTGAGGTCGTGCATCACCACAATTGGGGGCGCCTGCATCAGATTGCGCGGCGAGCTGTAGGAAACGTACTCCAGACGAGTGCCGTGGACAAATGACGACCGGTAGTTTCGCAGGACTTGGGCTCCGATTCTGGCAAGGACCGAGCCGAGAAGTCGCTGTCTTGCCATGGTTACCGAAAATTTCGAAAAGCTGTCAGTTCTGCAGGGAACCACATTAAAAGGTGGGTCTCCCTCTGTTATCCATGTAAAAATGATTTGTTTTTTCTGAAAATTCACTGAAATCTCTCCAGTTTGGGTGATTAGTTTCAAAGTTTCAAACGAAATCATGTGACATATTTATATTTATCCTCATGGTGTACCTCGATGCGGTTGTTATTCAATGCCATTGCATAAACGAAGCACTTTTATTTTCATATTTTTGTCAGTCGACAGCTCGAGTTGTACCTTGGGATATTCCGTATACGCCCCGTAGCGGCTGTCGTTTCAGGACACAATGGTATTAGCCGTAATCCACTGGGGCTAATGCCTCGTTTAACGCTCCGGAGTCGGAGTCTAAGCGCTTTCATGTCGCTTACAATTGCGGCTGGCAGTGCAAATCCCCAAATTGCGTAATAAATAAAATGCATTTGCGTGGAAAATTAGGAAATGGCAGAAGAAGCGCCACGAGAAGGGGGAGTAAATTCAAATTTCCACATTTTCATATTTTTACATTTTTACATTTTCATAATGTGAGCGCGCTGAGTTTGCCATCACAAAGGGGCATAAATCTTGGCAAGTGCTCAGACACAGACACAGACACAAACACAAACAAATGGTCTGAGAAATTTCATGTAACTTGAATTCCCTTTTTTAGTTGCACAAATCGAAAGATGGAGCTCGTTTGTTTTCGAAAACCACATCAACGGACGCCGTCTATTGGCTGGAATCGAAATGAATGCAAATTTCCAAACTATTTTTACCCGGAGTCCCTCGCCTTTGAACTTCGATTTAGCCATTAAAGTGGGTACACTTCATGGCAGCTGTCTGTCTGACAGTCTGTCTCCGATTGACAGTATCGGAGGCACTTCATATCCAATTTCAGGCTATTGACACAATGGAGCACCCTTGAGTAGTACTCCTCTGGCTTGGAAGAACATAAAACGAACTAAATAAATAAACTGGAAACCTCATTTGGAGCCATAAAAACGAACTTTCGAATGCAAACCCATAGTTAAAGTCGTTCCAATCAGCCCCATTGAAAAGTTTAGCGACAGTGAAATCCTCCGAATGCTGGATACGACCCCCCAGGGAATCAGACCTCCAAATTCCCATCAAAGGATTACCTCAGCCTGTCAGCGCATTCCATTCTAAGCCTTGGACGCTGTCCTGTTGCCACGCGGCTAAATACTTGCCAGAATTGGGGGAATGCCTTTCATCTCCATAGCATCACAATCTTAGGGAGATTCCGATTCGGAGAAGAAAGCCGGCGTTATTATCCGCGCAGGTGCATTGAACTCCGTTCAGCAGGAGAGCTGAATACGGAGCAGGACTACCAGAGAGTCACTTACAAACAAAAACAAATGCATGCAACAGATTGTAGTTTTGAAGACAAGCGGCATTCGAAGACAACGTTAGGGCTATCTTAGACGATTTACTTCAATTAATAATGAAATCACATTAAATTAAACTAAACCGAATATATATTTATTCTAGTCTTAGAAAATTTTTAATAGACTGTTTGAAAACTTTCTAACTTAAAAGTCTTTTAGGACTTGTTTGAAAACCGCGTTACTAAACGGTTGCCGTCCTCAAATGGTTCGTGTCGCGGATGCCTTGAAAGCACTTTGTATAATACTCCAATACGTCAACCACCAGCTTATAACCGATTCGTGGGTAGGAGTAATCACTAAGAAATCGGTTGCAGGATTTTGATAAGCGATGCTAGGGATGCAGTATACAAGATATAATCAAAATTTATATTCATATTTGCATTCAAAATAAACAACGTGCTAGTTATCAGTCTTGATTAATTTCAATTCATTTGACCTATTATAGACTACAAAGAATAATGTATAAAAATCACCAAAGTTGTTACACGAAATAATTGTTCAGTTCAGTTGGAAATGTCTGCTCTCATCAGATTTGAAAGTCAGAACATCAGATTTTACCTCAACAACCCTCCAGCCAGGACGACCAATCGGATCGCACCAAACTGTTGTCAATCCAAAATGGCCTCCAAGCAGATGCTGCCATCCGCCGGGGAGGAAAATCCAATAAGCCAAATTCGGAACAGCTCCGAGCTGACTTCGCAGCCCGTGTGGACAATCAGAATTTATTGCAACACAGTCTTCCAAGCAGAACAGACCCAAGGTCTTCCAATTGCAGTACCATCCAATACAACAGACAGTCATGCAGCACCCACATCCCAGTGACCAGCCCACCTATATGCCGGATGTTCCATTCCAGCCGCTTTGGGGTCAGGAGGCTCCACCGCCACCCATTGTTCCTTACCAAGAGCTCATCGCCGGATTTCCCTGCACTGATTTGTGTAAGTACCTCGAAAAGGATTCCCATGGAAGCAGTGCTTGATATGTTCTCCTATCCTAAAGCTCTGTGGCAGCGCTCCCAAGTAACTCCTTTGGTGCCCCAGCGTTCGTCGACAAATGGAAGGGCGAACGGCTCCTCCAGCTCCTCGAAGAAAACGCGACGCCGTGTAGCATCAATGGCCCAACGGAGAGCTGCAAATATCCGCGAACGCCGTCGGATGTTTAACCTAAACGAGGCCTTCGATAAGTTGCGTCGCAAAGTGCCCACTTTCGCCTACGAGAAACGGCTGTCCCGCATCGAAACCCTTCGTTTGGCCATCACCTACATCGGGTTCATGGCGGAGCTGCTAAGCGGCACGCCCTCCAATTCCCACAAATCCCGATCCGATGTCTATGGGAGCATGAATGGTCACCATCAGGCGCCACCACCGGCAATTCATCCACATCATCTGCACCCGGCGGCGGCATATCAACGCGACTTTGCTTCCCCCTATAATCATAGCTTGTCCTAGTGAGGTTGCTCAGGCTGAGGAAATCCAAACGATGATTTAAATACTCAAATGAATGCAAATACTGTTTCTAGTCAGATCGGTTTTGTTAAAATATTGTAGTTATAGGAATAGATAAATAATGTTTTCATACAACTTTATACATTGTTTAAAAAACAATAGAACTATTAAAAAACACATACATACATGCAAATAACAAAGAAAAATAATTTACATTTGTTTCCTTTCCAATATATATTTTTAAAATTAGTTATTTATTTGTTCATAATGGGGGCATTAAAATTTGCCAAAGCTTTGTCAACCATTGACCTTTCGCCTAATTCCCTATTCAAATGAGTCTAATCAATAAACAAGTAAGAAAAATGTTAGAGATACGACAAAAATTAGTCTCTTTTATTGAAGATCGAATGATACACCTCACAAAGATCTTTGTGATAGACAGATAAGACAATTAAACAAAATCTAACAAATTGGTTGTCTAAACTTGGTGGTGACTTTAAAGTTAAAGTACCATCAAAGTACACCTGATAATCCCCCTAAGTAGAACCCGCACTTGTTCCTAAAAAACCCAAGGCAAAACCGAAACGAACCATGTCGTGATTTGCGTGCGAATTTCCCCAGCTGGAAAGGCACCACATTCCCAGGTCCATTCGGTGGTACCAATGAAGTCACATTGCATACGTATCACGGGGGTATCCTAAACGGACGCCGAATGGCAAGAAAACTATTATACAAAATTTGACAAGGCAAACAAAGCGTGAAATTATTATTAATAAATTGAGGCACTCGGAGGGGAGATTCCAAGGGGAGGACGGCAGTTCAAAGTCAATTGTAGCAACCCCTAACCAAGGACAACCCAGGAACAAGTGTAACACTTGAGGGTTTCCCCGAAACCGGGCTAAATACCAAGGAATTTTTGCGTTCAACGCCCATCGCGAACAGATTAGCGCCCTTTTTCCGGGGAACTAGTTAATTCGGAACGGATATTGCATGGACATTGGGCTCGGAAGTCGGAAAGTGGACTGCTACCTGGGGGTTGACTGCACCCCTTGTTTCCAATGTTTTGGTAGTTTGGTGTACAATATGTTTTGATGAATTTGTGACACTTCATGCCGAATTAGATAGCCATCCGTATGCACAACTCTCCTTCGGGGTGGCTTGCCACATCCCCTCGCCTATGAATTGTCCTCACGTGTCGCCGATTAGCGCGATAGTAAACTCTTTCATAGATATATATATCTTTATCTTAACTCCTGAAGTTGATCTTTCCGGCACCTGTGGTGTGGGAATCTGGCTACGGCTACAAAACATTGTGTTAAGGCCCTGTCACGTGGCTCATATTAACTTCTTCCCATTGAAAAACGCTAGGTTCATCCATCGACTGAGATTGACTATCCGATCCCTCCCCTTGTGCGTTGCATGTCAAATGGCTATGACAAATTAATTGAATTTTGCTACAATTTCTGTAATTTTTGGCAATTTTTCGACACTTTTTTCGGACTCAATTAGGGCAGAATCCAATATGTATTAGGTCATGATAGATGGGATTTGGGAGCAAACATAGCAGATGTTTTCAAAGCTACTTAACTGTCCAATAAACAGTTTGCGAGTCGGGACCAAACGAATCTCACTTATTTTGTGCAAATTAATAGTGTGTATTGACTTATCTAAGATAACTTAAAAGTCCACAATCATATTTGCCTGACTTCATAAATTTCAATCATACAACCCACATTCCCTATCAACGCACTTATCGATTCTTGTGTACACATATATGAAAAGTGATCGTTGGGCGTTTTCTTAGTTGCCATACAATTGCCGGGCCCAGTTTACTTTGCAATCGGGAACGGAGGAGAATGTCGAGCCCAGTACTGGTAACACAACAATCCCAAGATGCTTCCTTGCCGACTTGGGTGGATCAGAAGGACTTGGAAACCCTGGTAAAGCAGATCCCAGAGTTCAGAAAAATCGAGGGTTTGCGATGGAAGTGGGAGACTCAACTGACCGAGCCGGCTCTCTGTGTTCATATTCAGGTGCTTTTGTCAGGTAAGAAACTGGAAATATATTCTGTCTATTTTTATTAACAATAAACTAACCGTAGACAAGAAGAAACGACAAGTGAGCTACCTAATCAAGTCACCAGAAACTGTGTCAGTTGGATTGAAGGTGCCCAGAAAGGGGGATTTCCCTGCGGAGCGTCACATGTTCGAGGTCGTGTTGCCTGCTCTGGAGGAGCTTTATCAAAATGCGAATAGGATCGTTCACTTTGGCCCACCAG